TATTTAATGTTAATAATATTTATCTCCTTTATTGAATTTGATAACCACATACGAAATTAAAAGCATTTTTGATAATACAAGTTATTCACGATTACAATGTGTAGTTTTGAAACCGTGTCGTTTCACAGATGTCATAAAGGTTCAATGTAAGAGAAAATTTCGGGCCAATAGTTAAAAATACGGCTATAATAAATCGTTTAAGTTCAACAGTATTTCAGAATAAGCGACAGCAATGTTTCTTATTTGGAGTTTTATGGAATTAGGAATAATATCAATTACGTGTTTGAGTTTGTGTGTTAAGCTTATTAAGCGTTATAAAGCTAGTTACAAGACGGCGGCGTGTATTTCGCACTTACGAATTTCCGTAATTTCAGAAAAATGAAAAATATTTACCCCCAGCTTTTTTAATTGATTCGGACTCAGAATCGATATCAGAGTTACCTCCTAGAAAATTGATGCGGCTTTAAAACAACACCTTGTATATGACATCGAGAAGAAAAGGCCGGTAAGGCACTTGTAATACATCTGGTGTTTCGGGTGTCCATGGGTGGCGCCGATTGCTTACCATCAGGTGATCCGTCTGCTTGTTTACCGGCTTATTCCATAAAAAAGGTAAAATAATCTGATACTACAATTAATCAGTTTCCTTAATGGTTGGCAACGTGTTTGTGAATAGATTATAAATATCGCTGGGGTTTTTTTGACGGGAGAATATCATCCAATGACTTCTCCCACTTTGGGTAAGACGAGTATCTTACTCGTCAGATCGTCGTCGTGTCAGACTCTTATTGACTAAAAACCACTCCGTTTTTTTTATACCTTGCCCCACACTAGGATTTTCTCCCGTGTTGTGGGTGCGTTCACAAACATACAAGTTGACATACACATAACGACACCCAGACCCGGAACAACAATTTGTGGATCACACAAAGGGTTGCTCCGTGCGGGAATCGAACCCGCGACACGTTGCGCGGCAGCTAGTTGCCCAGCCACCGCTCCAACCGTGCAGTCAGTTTCTACTCCTGCTTTGAATTGGAGCTCCGGTACCCCATTAGGTTGTTCGCAGTTCCGTCGGGTAACATTATAGTTAATGGGTTTACCATCAGGCAGTTACTTATCATGAAATTTGTATGTAAGTGTCGTGGTGGCCTGGAGATTTAAGACGCCCGCTTCTCATGCTTGAGAGTACAAGTTTGAAACTTACCAACGGCAAGTACCAATGTGACTTTTCCAAGTTATATGTACTTTCTAAGATTATTTACACACCACTGACAAACGGTGAAGGAAAACATTGTAAGGAAAACAGGGCTTATAATTTCTAATTATACGTTTCAAATCGCCAACCCGCATTGAGCAAGCGTGGTGATTAATGCTCAAACCTTTTCCGTGTGAGAAGGAGCTGTGGTCAGAAGTGGGCATTTATAAGCTGTTGATGTATAAAATGAGTTTCGAATAAGTGAAGTCGCTAGTATCGTACCTGTGCCTTTAGCCAAACACCACTTTAGCGCTTGTCTACAGACAGAGTAGAAAACTAAATGTATGGGGATGACACTGACAAGTGTCAAAATGTACGTCAATTCCATATAATTTGGTTCTATATTCTACATTTGGACAAGCGCTAAATGGCATTTGGCTACAGCTGTTGGTACATAACTACTCAATCGGTTTTGATATTTGTTACTTTTATCGAATTCAAAAAGAGGAGGTACTATATTCAGATTATTGTTTATTCATGGGATATGGTCCGAAGTGGCTGATTCAGTCCAAGTTAATATAAGGTCCAGCTGTCACCGCATCAAACTCATTTTTTGCCAAGCTGTACTTAAGTTTATTAACGCCTATACCCAGTGGTACTCCATTTTTTTTTTCAAAATCGTTTAATTTAATTGGACCAAGAAGGCACTTTTGTACGTCAAAATAAAATATTTAAATATTAAAGAAAAAATGTCAGTCTGTAGGTCAGTCCTCTAGTGAAGCTATTTGCTCGTTCCAAAGTGTAGATTCCTATGAACGAACGAGCAAGAAACTCCATAGTTTAGTCTTTTTCAATCAGGTTTACTATACAATTCTTGGTTACATTGTTTCGTTGGTTCAATTCCTTCCTACTTTTTCTGCGTGATACACGAATTACTTAGTTTGCGTATATTTTCCCAACGATATAACTATTACGTGTCTAGCTCAAAATGGATAATTTCAACAAACATATTACTTAATAGGAAATTTCAATACTGTTAAGCAAAAGGATAATTATATAATTATAGTCATACGTTTTCATTATGTGTAGTAGATAGCCTTGTGGTCTTTTTGTCCTTATTTTGGCCATTTACGTATTTCCCGTGGGACTGTAACGGTGTTTGGGTTACATGATACCAATTTCGTATGACGTGTTCATAACTTTGTCAGAGGTAAACTTCCATTTATGGTATTACCGTATTTGAATGTTTTACTGAAGTTTACAGTCGTTTGGTGACGTCAGAGCAGAGTAAATTAGTCACCACTCTTATGCTTCACATAACTATATATTTTTTTAAGGAGGGAAATTTATCGAATGACTTCTCCCGCCTGGGTGAGGCGGGAGGTAGTGTCAGACTCTTACTGACTAAAAACCACACTACATAACTATACTAACACTACATACTAACAGTAACCATACACCTACATAACTATAGGTACACTTGGGGAGCAAAGAAACGAGGCTACCATCGTTTTTCCTTTTTCATTTCTTGATTATAATTTCCTGATAAAAGTATTTATTAATTATGTCGTATGTCGCATTAGAGGTCCTTCCTTACCTTTAAAATACAAAAATGTGAGAGAATCATTAAACTTATATTTCTAGATGTTGGGTTAGTACAGACAGTTTTGGCTAGTCCGAAATCTAAGTTAACAGTAATATTAAGTAGGTTAGCAAAAACACCTAATTGATGATTGTATCTCAATTATAATTGGTTTAGTTATAGGTATTAGTATAATATACTAAGTAGAGTACCTAATAAAAATTAAGTGGGTACGATAGGGTTGGCGTATTCATGTGGATAAAACGTCAAAATATGTAAACAGTAATAAAAAAAACTTTAATTTGAGAGCATTCTGTTGTAAAAGGAATTTATATTATATTTTTAAAGTTATAGAGGGTTTGAAAAAATATAAAAAACGGGTTCGATAAAATGAATAAAATGAAAAAAGTGGCTTCGTTTCTTTGCTTTCGAGTGTGTTTTATAATGACGCATTTCATATTATATGGAAAATACGTCAAATTATTCGTCAATTAGATTTACAGTAATTTAATCAGATGTTGTTTAACTGGCCCTTATATTAATGCTTAAACTTAAGATTATTTTTTTAAATAGATCCTATAACAAACCCTATAGAGTCTATAGTATAGACCTATAAAAAGGGTCTAGAAAAAGTCAAAATTCAAAATATTTTTCTTTGGAAAATAGCCTTTAATACCTTAAGGTAAAACTGCATAATATTTACAATGTCAATGTAACACCTTCACCGCTAATGTGATAATTTCACTTTATGACTAAAACCTATATTGCCATTTTCTGTAAAACATATTATACTGAATCGCTACATTAGGTCGATCGGGCAAAGTATAACTGGGTTTTAAAAAAAAATCTCAATAGTAGCACGAAGTCTGGTATCTCAGTAGTAGAAATGTGCCCGGTATATGGCAATAGGCTCACCCCTGATTACATGGGACTCATATCATAGTCAAAAGTAGGTGTTACATTGTACAGTGGCATTAGGTGCCGTAATGTGCACCTCTGCATACTCCTGGGATAAAAGGCGTGAAGTTAGGTGACGCTAGGCAACCAAGTATTTTTTTATTGAGTGAGATACTGTTCAAACCACATACGAATTGTTGATAAGAAATAGCGATAAGTAACTGTAATTTGGCGAACACAGTCCTTGAGTCGTATGCATTTATGGAATACCTTCAAGATATTTATTTCGTTGCTATGGTCACCCGCAAATATATTTTTACTAGGAGTGTATAAAGCATTATCACACTGTACAGACTAAACCTGGAAAGCAATTAATAAGCGATCTTAATCCTGAAAACTGCCTGCCTCGTTGGCCGAGTGGTCGCAATTGCGACTGCCGGGCAAGGGGTCTCGGGTTTGATTCCCGGGTCGGGCAAAGTATTACTGGGCTTTTTAATTAAAAATTCTGAGTAGTAGCACGAAATCTGGAGCTGTGCCCGGTACCTATATAGCTATAGGCTCACTCCCTATTACATTGGACTCATAACAAAAATAGTGAAAAGTGGGTGTTACATTGTACAGTTGTATAATGTGCACCTCTGCCTACCCCTTCGAGGATAAAAGGCGTGATGTTATGTTATGTTATGCTTAATCCTAAATTTTAAGATCAATCTAAGTTTTTAAAGAGACAACATACATACATACAATCGATATCAAAAAAGTAATTACACTCAAACTTGACGTGTAGATAGTACTATTTTAAAAATATTTGCCTAAACAATGTTGCATTTCTTTGCGCACATATTCGAAATTTAAATGAATTCGCTATGTTTATGCATGCCGTTAAGTACTGTAATTTGACGATTGGATAGTGTGGGAACATATTTGATTACATAATGTTTGATAAAGAAAATTTTATCTTTCAAGTGATAAGATATATTAAAGACAAAATTGATTATTTGTTAACAACTTGTATTCGAACTTCAATATAGAGAGGTACCTCAAGAAGTGGTCCAAAGATAAATTATTAAAAGCATTTGTCCTAAAGCAAGAATGTTTAAAATAATGTGTTCTATTGTCATTTTAAATTGGAACATAACAATATAGAATAGAGTATCTATTTATATATAGCAGTTTGAATTCCTGGCGACAACAATACGATACGATGACCATTCATCTAATCCACTTGCCACAATAAATACATCTACAAACCACACAAAACTAAATCCTCCACCTAATAAAAATAAAGCTCTAAATAAAAAAAACAGAAATTACGAAATTACTTACGAGTCACAATCTCAAACGTTGACTTCGAACTTTTACGCGCGCGTTTTTCGTATGAAAATTGTAGTGGTGTGTGTTCTGCGTTACGGTTTGCGTCGACACGTGTGCCGCGTTCGGAGTTTGGAACGATACTGACGAGGTGGTATTTTGTTTACTAGCTGGCTCCCGCCTCCCGCCCGCCTAACGAAGTCCTAACAAAATAACAGTAATAATATTACCGTATCCATTCATTTATTACTATATTTTCAAGTAATTATGATTAAAGTCATTGTAAAAGCGAATGCTGAATTGACCAAGATGTCTTTTATGGTTCAACTCCCTGACTTGAGTCAGGAAAAGTTTTACGGAAATTTGCAGTAATGGCACGCACGCGACGTGTGCATCAGTCTGGCTGGTGCATTGTCCAGATTTGCCTAAACTACAGTTAGTTAGTTTCTGTGTACCTTTACGTATCTCTTTTGAAAATCTGTGTAGCTTTACCTGTACAATGATACACGGAATACGGTTGTTTCCTAAATTTTATTTTAATGTCCGCCGGGTAGATCACTTTAAAACAGACAAACAGACCCGTATTTTATCTTTTCTCACAAAATTCAATACTTTCGACGATATATTCATTTGAAATATCGTGTGACGTCATAGCGTGCTACATTTTACAGCACGTTGTGACGTAACGACCTCCCACTCTTAAACTTAACGCCATTTTATCTTAGTATTGTTGCTTTATACAATAAATAAAAAAATACGTGTCTAATATTTTTTTATTATCTGACTGACGGACTTATTAGATTTTTTATTTTCTTACCCTGGCAAATACCCAATTATGCTCTATTTAAGGCAATAGAACATCTAATATAAGGGACTCATAACATAACCACCACTTTGTGAAAACTGAGGCTCGCTTACTTTAACCTTTTGACCGCCACAGCCTACACAGACACAATATAAGTAATTAAAAATGACTGACAGAGCAAAATAAGACCAGATTTTCTTTGTCGTCTTTTGCCGACCATGACGGTCAAAGGTTAATGTGTATTCTTCTGCATACCTTAAGAAGATTACCTTAACTTTAAGAAATCGGAGCGTAAAGTTACATTATGTGTTATGTATTTCCAAATGATTACCATTTACTTTATTAGAAAATTTATAGACGAGTTTTATTGGAGACGGTATTATATTGTTTCCTAACGAGTTTCTTGTTTACGATCGAAGCAACGTGTATACATATAACTTATTATATCATCCACATGTGTTTAATTCAATTTTAAGTGGTGTACAGCCAATCAGCGACGAGTACTGTAATAAATCAAATTAAATCATGTAACATTAGGGTTTTATTGTCAAAACCTTAATTGCTTGATTTATTATGAGCTACTTATATAGTAAAGGGAATATATCGATATTGGTGAAGCAGTTTAGGTGTTAAGTACTTACAAACAATTAAATGCTTTTTCATATATTAATTAAGTTAATTAAAATAGGGTAGGTGCCTAATTTATATTTTAATGTCCAACTGGTAGGTTATTTTAAAACATTTGACACGTATTTTTCATTTTCTTATAGATGCAAATACTTTCGACGATATATTGATTTGAAATGTCACGTGTAGGTACGTGACATCACTTCTATGAACATTTTATACGTAGAAATGACGTTTCAGCGCCTACTCCTAAATTTTGATTCGTTTCATCTTATTATCTATACGACAAAATAAAAAAAAAATCGTGTCTAATATTTTTTCATTGTCTAACTTGCGGACTAAATAGATTTTTAATTTTCATACCCCGTCATCATCCCTATTCTCGTTAAAGTAATAATTACCTAAGAGTATTCTAAGCGTTGATTTCTAACACATTGTTGGCCTTAATTGATTTTGATGACGGCGGGTCAGAGTACATCTTCCAGCATCTCTATTCTTCCCACAGATGTGGTAGGCAGTGAGGCAGCAACGTAGAGAAGATCACTTTTAATCAACTTCTAAAAAGAAGGAGGTTCTCAGTTTGTATGTAAGTATGTTGGTTTTCACATAACATAACATAACATCTCGCCTTTTATCCCCGAAGGGGTAGGCAGTTGGACATTATGCCACTGTACAATGTAACACCCACTTTTCACTATTTATGTTATGAGTCCCATGTAATAGGGGGTGAGCCTGACCGCCTATTGCCATATACCGGGCACAATTCCAGACTCTGTGCTACTACTGATTTATTTTTAAAAACCCAGTAATACTTTGCCCGACCCGGGAATCGAACCCGAGACCCCTTGCCCGGCAGTCGCACTTACGACCACTCGGCTAACGAGGCAGTCAGTACCTATGTTTGTCTTCTTTATATTTCTTAAGCACCTATAGTTTAAAGTGATAAGTGTAGTCTATAGTTTATGTATTATGGAACATAATGGTAGAACTTAGGAGCTTCATGCTTATTCGGTTCTAATAAACACCACATTTTCCTATAAATTTTGTACGACGAGTTTGTGCTTCATGACATCATGCTTATTGCGTCAAATAACCATTCATATTTCTTTAAAAAATGCAAGAAAAAAAAAACTATACACACATAAGTCGTTAAATTCAAATCAATGTGCATATCTTGTCGTTAAATTAAAGTTAAATCAATGAACATATCGATATGACTCACAGGAGTCCATTTAGTTTAGTATTTTTTTTTAATTTTAAGAAAAGTGACACATATTTGGGTTCACTGGGACGTACCTATGACGATGATGTGCTTTTCTCAGTATTTTCACGTGAGTAACCCGCGATTTTTAGTTTATCAGTTAGTACACATCTGTTTGATCTAATATGTTTTAGTATCTTACATTATATTTATGGCAAACTTCGGTGGGTGGACGCGAACAGGCGAGCTTACCGTATTATATTGTGAAGCTGTTACTAAACAAATTCTTAACTAAAATAGAATATTAATAGACACAGGAAGATACCATAAAATTTCAGAATATGACAAAAAATAAATTTAAATCTAATTTGGATACAAATCCCCATAACCATTAAGGCTATCAGTGCTGTTATTTATGGGACATTAATATAAATAATGAATACGTTTACACATTTTATTTTAAATGCATTAAATAGGATATTTAAAGAATTTGAATGTAGGTACTATAAATATATTAGATCTCGACTATTTCTGTGTTTAAGAGAGTGCGGTAATAAAATAGACGGATGCTTTAGTACGTCCGATACAAAAGTATCCATATTATTTTTTATTTATTTTTTTAAAAACGTTTCTTTTTTTATGGCATAAGCCAGTTAAACTGTCAAACACCAAGCGGTCACCGGTGAACGCAACCTATTGTTCTATAATTGTGTCTATAATGACGGTCCTTGACGAGTTAACGAGCAGACGGATAACCTGATGGTAAGCAATCGGCGTCACCCATGGTCACCTGGAACACCAGAGGTGTTACAAGTGCGTTACCGGCCTTTTGGGGATTAGGAGTTTGAGGATCATTGGGAATTCAGGGATTGGGGAGATTGGAGAAGGGGAGGGTAATTGGGCCTCCGGTAACCTCACTCATACGACGAAACACAACGCAATCGTTGCTTTACGTCGGTTTTCTATGAGGCCGTGGTATTTCTCCGGTCGAGCCGGCCTATTCGTGCCGAAGCATGGCTCTCCCACACGAGGATTTTATCCTGTGTCGTGGGTACGTTTACAAACATACAACTCATACAAGTTCACATACACAATGACACCCAGACCCGAAATAATTATTTGTGGATCACACAAAGTGATATTCCGTGCGGGAATCTAAGCCGCGAATCGTTGCACGGCAGCCAGCTGCCCACCGCACCAACCGTGCAGTCATATTTTTGTATATGATACAAAAGTAGGACCAAAAAAAACCCCAAGTAAGTAGTGCTTTGTTTTTTTAAACAATATTTCGTTTGATACTATGCCATCTATCTATCTGACTGCCTTTCTGATACTTACTTAATTTTTTTATGGCTAAAGCCGGTAAACGATCATACAAATCACCTGATGGTAAGCAATCGGCATCGCCCATAGACACCTGGAACATTAGAGGTCTTACAAGATAGACAGATATCACCTAATATGGAAGAATTGTTAAATATTCGAAGTTATTCCACTGATAACATTTTAAGTAAGCATTGAAAAATCGGCCCAACTTCATTTATTATGGTAACCGGGGCTCCGGCTCGACGTGCAGGAGAAGGAACGGGGTGGTCTTTAGACAGTACGGCGGGAGCAGTCATTCGATGATTTTCCTCCCTTAAGAAAAAAAAAAGAGGTGCATATTAACCCATTGTTACAATTTCATCTCCGACCAATCGTATATTATTAATTAACCTGTTGAAAATCATCCCTTAAATTTGTTCGTACAAAACTAGTCTCTAAATATTGGAAATAAGGTCTATAATGTAGTTAGTGGAGAGCGGTTACCGGTGACTGCTTGGGGATATATGGGAAGTCCGTTCCAGTGTATTATGTATCACTATTCTTAAAATTAAAACAAAATTGTTAATACCGAATTCTATGACTCAATCGCGAAGCAGACTGAATTGATAGACATACGGAAATAAGTGAATACCAACAAATTACGGACATACCTAATGAATATGATGATTTTGCAAACCAGTTTTCCGTCGTGCAGAGTTCGTAAGCGCCGGTAATATGTACTTAGATCGCTATTTGATTAGTGTCGAGACATATCACGCGATTCTGTTAGTACACCCGGCCACACATCAATCTATAGAAAACCAGTTTATCCTGGTGTCGCGTCGCATCATCTTTCCGCACATTTAACGTTCAGTTTATACTGGTTATGTAAAGCTCTATGTGTAGCCGTGGGTACATCACACCCGGTTTTTCTATTAAGCCCAAGTTTGGCTAAAAATAAAATCATACAAAATGACTTGGTATGTTTTTTGAATAAAGCCTTTTTTTGAGTTTAAATAACGTCTTATTTATTCTAACTGCAGTTTACATAGTAACTATATTTGTTTAATTATTTTTTTAACTCATTGGATGACGTGTCGGACAATTATGACTGAGTGATGATGAGGCTTAGTCTTTAGCAGTTTTTGTTGGCAGTTAAAGGCGTAAAGTTCACATAACATCACGCCTTTTATCCCCGAAGGTGTAGGCA